TTGCGAACCGACAATTTTGTTTATGGCAAATGCGGGAAGCAGAGACATATAGAGGTAGTTGGCCATGTGTGAGAACTGAATCACGCAGATGCTCTCCAACTCTTTGTAATGTTTGACCTTGAGCCCTACGTGGTGTGATCAAAAAGGTCGGAGACTGACCCTTTTTCTTAAAAATGCGTCGTCGTGGCGAGTTGCGACTTGTCGCAACATGTTCGATGATTCATCTAAACATAGAAACTGATGAATCATCCGTATATCTGCAGTCAGTCTGAATTAGTGCGCGTTGAATAGGTGTTTTATGTGTTTCCCCCCATTTTAAAATGAGTGATTTTATTAAGCAGCGAATTGGCATCAATATTTTGTTTCAAATTAGGGAAAAGTGCAACAGCAACCCACAAAATGTTAAAAACAGCTGGTCGAATGCATAATGTCGAATTCTCTTCAGTCGAATGAGCAAAAACGTCGAACGTCCTTATGGTCGAAGACAAAAATGAAGAAAGGCCAAGTCGTGGAATGTAAAAAAAAGTGAAGAACGCTACTTTTACTAAGTCGATAAGCACATCAATAAATTAAAGACAAAGTTTCAGTCAAATGTCCAATTGTCAAATCGCTTCAAAACTTGACTTTGTACGCTAAACCTCTCAATAAATCAAGCACAGGCCTCAAATCAAACTCTTCTGTTATCTTCAGTTTTGTCTCTCTGGTAATGTCGCATTTCTTTCGTTTTTGTAGTGTTTCTCGCCTGTCCAGCTCAGTCTGTCGCTGCTGAACCGTTGACTGCTCCTCAGCGATGACGTCCAGGAAATGGAGTAGGGTTGGATGGTTTCGGCCAATTAATCTGTTCCCCAACTTGTTGTGCCATTCCTCGACGTGGTCATTGGTGCGAGGCTCGTGCCTAGGATGCACATCCGGCGCCCCCTTCAAAATAGTTTCTCCCTCTGTCACAAGACGAACTTGGGAGTTTCGATCTTGGCATCTCCCGTAAACCTTTCCATCCCGTGACATGTCTTTGTTGTCCATATAACAAATATTTACGAGCAAAGCACCACCTTTTTGAGTCTTGTGAAACGTGAATGCCATGACGAACCCAGTCCATCCAGAAAATAACAAGCCGAGGGAGTGATGACAAGGAAAGTGACGAGACAGACTGCTAGATCATGAGCGAGTATAGTTCGAACCCCTTTCAAGGTCACTAACAATAACTGGAATGATCGCCTATCTCTGAAGATAGACGATCATTCCAGTTTGAGAAGGCTGAGCGTACAGTCTACGAAGGCATGAACTAAGCAAGAGACAAGGGCTATCTCTATTTAGAAAAAAAAAATACTTAGTCCTAGAGAAGCACATTCGACGTTTTTCGACATTTTTCGACTTTCTGGTTCGTTCGACATTTTCTCCGTTCCACCATGTCATAATCAGTAGAGCTCTAGTTTTGATTCGACCAGTCAAATGGCCAAAGTTCATTACTCTCCAAAGGAACAAAGTACTTAGCGAAATGTGTGGCAGTTTCAGATAAGGGATCTGCGTGGACATTGGCATAAATAGGGGGGCATAAGTTGACAAACTGCCCTTTGTGAACATCACATATTCAATTTGTCACCATTTGCAGAAACACACTTCTGACGAATCGTTACCATTGGAGCTTGTTACCCTTGGACTATCTACCGCCACACTCTTAACATGTTACTTGGATATGGGGTAACAAACTCTTGTAATTTGCTACTCTTGAATAGGAGAAACAAGCGGAGTAACAGAGGGGAAAATTGCATTAAAAAGGTTACAAACTTGGAATGTAAAGCTTTATTTGTACATGATTGTTCATTAAAATAAATCTTACATCTTGAACTTCATAAAAATTTCCGAGAATTTTAACATCATGTCATCACTATCGCTATCGTAGCATAGTATTGATGTAGGATATGACTGCGTTTTTTATGTTGTCCTCTACAAAATTCAATGAAGATACTGTTCAGTGTATCGCTTTTCACCATTAAGACTCCCATTAATCATTACTTTGTGGCACGAAAAATGTGCCGTATCAACTATGGTTCGACAACTTCCGAGCTGCGCCGAACTAATTTTAGCTATTTCTATGGAAACATAGGTCTGACTTCCTGTCACAATCATACACAATGCATGTAATAGTAATGCCTTCAGAAGTTGAACATCCAGGAAAATATATTATACACGATGACGGAATGTTTCTCAGAAAGTAAATCTCTGAAATGCTCACGTGGAGGTGGACAGAGAATCGTCGTCTGATGGTCAGTGAATGTGGTGCACCATGCATCAGGTCGCATGGAGGCGCAGGTGGCCATGTGTACCTTGTGATCATCAGTGAATCCTCGTGGGTGTTTGCATTTGAATGTCACCTGACCTCCTCGTGGGGCAGGATATGCCCCACTCCAACCATGGAAAGCTTCCTCAGCATTCTGTATCTTTGGGTAGCCCGTGAGGCATAGGACTGCAGAAAGGGTAATGGCAGGAAGGAAAAAAACTAAATCAGTGATCTCCATTTTCGACACGATGTTTACAGCGCAGATAAAGCTAACGTTTCGGGTTGAGTTATGTCGTCGAACGTTCGTAGCGTGCTGGAAGCTACTCTCGTGGTTTTGACAGCTTGAGAAGTGTGAACTTCTGGTAAAGGGAGTTTTAACATGCTGATTTCAGAGGAAATCCAACAATTAGGGTCGACAACCTCGTCGACATCCTCGACGTTTTTGGAGGGTGTGGAAAAAGGTACAAATTAAAATTGTTTATTAAGAAAAATGATTTCTTATTGTTGCGTCAATAGAGGCCTTGGATGAGGAAAAAAACCGGAGGATACATTGGGGGGGGGGGGGGGGGAAGAACCTTCATTTCTTTAATGCTGCTAATACCTGTTTGCTGATAAAGTTTAAAAACCAGGAGTAGCATGACACCACAAAAATATATATTACCCAAGGAAATGTACAGGGAGTCATATTGAGAGGTGGGTTGTCCGAAAATGGATGTTTCAAATAGATAATTACTACCTTATATTGTCGAGTCCTGAATGTACGACGTCTGCGAGTTTATTTGCCCTTGACAAATGGATGTACAATGAGAACACGCAAGTTCTTGTAATCAGCCAATTCCTCACCATCGCCTTTTCACTTGAAGTAACTCACATTGAACATATGCCTGGTACCCTTCAGATTTGACGATATGGCTCTTGCTTTTGCGAATCAGCTGGCATGATCCATCAGCTTCCCTGAAGTTGAATGCATGACAGGGATGAGATTCATTGTGCTTCATGCATGAGATACTGCAGTGCGAAATGTCCACCCCGTTCATTTCTTCTGAGACATTTCCATATCGTTTCCCTTCAAATACAGCCCAGTATGTGGGAACATCGACTGATCCATTCCGAAGCAGGCAGGAGAACACGGCCAACAGCAAATAATGTCCCGACATCCTGATTCAACATTCATGACTTCAAACGGAATTTATAAGGAAACGGCATCTTATACTTTAATCTATTACTTTAAATCGAAGAGGTCAAAAGTTCTAATCTGAATCTGAAAAAAACCATTATTCCATATGGTTATATGAGAAATGAACCAGCCTGTTCTAGGAAAAGGTTCAAGGGTAAAGGGACTCATGGGACACCCTGCATATTCAACGATATCGATGCTAGAGAGACTGGCTCACATGAGACTGAGTGCAATTTACCGCGCAGTCATCTGGCAATGATTCTTTCGCAGGTGTCATATGTTGAAACTTCGTTCGGTAAGCCTTCAGTTTACCTCACTCAGGTTTGAACAAAATTCATGCATCGGATCTAAGTAAATGATCCTAGCAGAATCTACTATTCCTCAGCTAATAGGGGAAAATGAAAAATATGGGTTAGAACAAAGTGGGGAAAGCAATTGTTTCAGGAAAGCATAAACATGTTTTTGACGTGCCTCGGAACGACTCACCTCTGTAGCAACATGGGGGAAGCTTACTACTTTATCACTAGTTCTCCATCTAGGCTCGAATGACTTCCACCTATGAGTAAATCAATGATTAGGATGAAAGAAGATAAGGTCGCAAAGAGATGGACATGTTGTCCGTCTCTATTATGAGATTTTGGATGCATATATGACTTTGGCGACCAGGAATTCCGAAAAAAAATTGATAGGAGTTGCGGCCTGAACGCTTAGTGTGCAATTGTACGAACAATATTACTCTCGAGGGAGAACATTAACTTCCAATGCCCAATTTTAATGAAAGTTATATTTCATTGAGTAGAGAAGGGGTTAGTACTCGAGTCCACTCTCTCGCATGCATATGTCTAAGCAAGTGGCAGGAGCGAAGCGTTTCATTAAAAAAAAATTGAATCACCACCAAATATTTTTCCCAGACAACTCAGCTCGCCGAATACCCATTGTAGTCGAGAGGGACTGTTAAAATTCCCATACGGAACCAAATGCCACCGATCGAGGTGAAGCTTCTTTTTCAGGTCTGATGGCTTCTGTAGGCGACACTCGTTGCTTCGGTAATGGAACGTACGGCTTCACAGTTTTACCAGCATTAATGAGTGGTGTGCGACAAATTATTAATGTAAAAAATGTTGAGACAGATAGGAATAGTGGAGCCGTATCGATGGAATGAGTTCCGCGGTCGCTACTTTCGATGAAATGGATTTAGCAAAACGGCCATTTGAATTGCATGGTTATCGGTATTGCAATAATTTCACAAGGATCGTCGGCAGTCTACTAAGAGGAGAGCCACGTCCAATAATGTCATTACTGACCATTTAGTTGAGTACTCTTGACAAGAGTTTGTTACTAGCCCAAAACATTATGAGACATTGTGGGACGTTGCCTTTAACGAAAGGACTGAATAGCAGACACGCACGTGCAAAAAAAGGATTTCTGAGCCCTAAAAGCTAACGTACATGAGGTAAGAACAAAACCTGCAGGGATCATATCGACTTCTTAAGAAAAGTATCCCTC